AGGTAAATAATTGAGGGCATGAAGCCCTCATTTCTCTTATCCCGTGCGAATGGAGAGGGTGAGGCAACAAACGAGAGAGCGAGAGAAAGGGAAAGCAAGAGACAGAGGTTAGGAGGAACATGGAGAAGTGACACTCCAACAACAAGGGGCTCGAACGGCTCGTAAGATTGCCGCAAGAAGCGAGCGAAGGGAGGAAGTTGCAGGAGGAGGCGAGCGGTTCACGCAAGTCCTCGCACTACGTCGATCAACCGTAAAAAGAGAAGGGTGGAGGGGAAGTTGAGCGACTCTTTCCAGTGGTGCAGAGCTTTTTAGAACTTAAGAGTTGCTCGAGCGAACTCCTTAAGCTCCCAACACATGGAGTTGCTCGAGCGGGAGCTTTCCAGCCTCAGATAGAAGCTTGATCGAGCATTCTGAACTTCCAATATAGGGAGTAGCTCACACAGAAGTCATTCCCGCAAGCTAAAGACTTTCGCACAAATTACATTTTTAGGTAAGGAACCTAAAGTGAACTTTAGGGCTTTTGTATTTCAAAATATAAAAATAATTTTGGAAGAAATTTCAGAAACCCTAAAATTAATTTCTGAAATTCTGTAAAATCATGTTTTAGGCGGTGCTCGGTAGATAGTATTTAATAGGGTTTACTCAAAGATTTACGTAAATCCTGTCAAATACGAAAAATAGGTTAGATAAATCACGGGCTCCGCAAAATCCAGTTTTCTCCTTTTTCCGTCTATTCTAGGACATAAATTTGGATTTACTAAATCCAATTATTTGATGGATTTAACGAATTTAACTTAGAAAAAAGTTCATACAGATTTATGCCAAACATGTCAGTTAATTTAAGTGGATTTAATATTAACTGAACCAAACACTATTTTTGACTTCAGAGCATTTGGATTTGATAATTTCAGAATCACCAGATTTACGAAATCCAACTCAACTTAAAACCTAGTTGCAACCAAACACCACCTTAATGTTTTAACGAGGACTGAATCCCTAAAAAGGTCTTTGTTGTGGGAGATAAATTTCAGATACAAAGTTTATTTCAATATTAAATTACTGTCCCTAGCTAGTTTTGTAAAGTTTAAGTTAAATTTAAAAATTGTATGCTTAAAAGCCAAATTACGTTACTTCTATCTAAGCATACCAAAAGAGATTTACGAAAGCAACTTAATATAAAATTTGATAATTAATCCATTTAAGTGAGATCTATTATTATCAGAATCACAATATATATTTTCATATAAAATAAGAGCCAGCCAATTAATTAAAAAATTAACACTGAGCATATTAAATAATAATAATAGTAATAATAATAATAATAATAATAATAATAATATTGAGATTAGATTTAAGCTGAAATGACAAAAATAAATAGAAGCTAATTAATTCAATTTTGTTACTATAGGTGCACCAAAGATCTAAATTGATCAAGGAAAAAGAACAATTGACTGAACTGAACATGTCAAAAAATATGTTTTTTTTACAAAAATTCTTTTATTTATAAAATTAATTACAGCTATTTTAACTGTTTGAGCATTTTCTTCTAAAAATGCAGTATTCAAATATTGTTATCAGAAAAAAATATATATATATATTTTATATGCATGCATATATAGAGTCACCTCTAAATGGGTACTGAGATGGGATACAATGCACCCGAGCACAAAAAATAAAACTAAAAATGGAAATGAAAATGGTTGACTACGTTTTTGATGGGTTTTTGAAAAGGTTAAACATATTCTTTTAGTATATGTTTAAAAGATGACTCTCACTAGCAGATATTATAATTAAAAAGAAAAATAAACAAAAAACTAAATTATTTATTGCTTCCTTTTTACTCCTTACAATCTTCTTGCTGTGTTTTTACAAAATATTTTAAGAAAATTTTATCCACTAAATAGTTTCTCATACATTTATCTACTACCAAGTTTAAGAAAACTTGTTTTAGAATAAATGAATCCTAAAGAGCATGTGTACAGATGTCGAGGAACTCAGGGAAATAGGAACTATAGTTCAGTTTTTATTTTTTCTTTCAATTGTAAAAATTTTAAATTTGAAGGAATGTTTATAGATTAAATTTGTGTAATAGAATTACTCTTTTATATGTTTAGAAGATTTTGCTTAGTAAATGAAAATGTTTAGATAGTTTTCTCCGTTGGATTGTCTGTTCTCACCTTGGTATTCTAAGCTCTTGGGTCGTGTTATGACAACAAGTTCGAATATCAAGAAGCTTGCCTCATTTACGCTTGTGAACAAGTTTATTGTGGCTATAAGCCCACCTAGATTTTAAAATATTAGATCAATTAAACAAATCTAAACGCTCAAAAAGAACATAAGTTACATAAAAACAAATAAAAAATAGGAACAAAATTTCTGATAATTAAACTATAAGCATTTCATTTATTTGTCAGATACATTCTATTTTACCAAAATTTCTCCATAACTACTCTCAAATTGAGATCTTATCCATCTAGATATTGTCTACTTTAGCTTCATAAACCTTCTAGTTTAATCCCCTTATGCAACTACTGAGAAGGTTATCCATTGTCTCATCTTAAGAGTGATATAGCAAGAGCATGCATAAATTTGGAGTTCCCAGCAAAACTTTAATCATTACATCAAAAGTCACTTGATATTTAAGAGCATTGTCTCAATATAGTGGAGACGTCTCACAATTTCTTTCACTTACGGAATTGATATCCTCTAGAGTAGCCTTAAAGATAGATCAGAATAATTCACAACGTAGACAGGATTACACAGATAATTATATAATTACTAATAATTGTGATATCCCTGTTGCTTAAGAAAATTAAAAGAGTTAACAGAGAGGACTCAAAGACCTGTATATCCCCTAGTTAACTTTGTTTCGTTTGAAAAGCTGCATGATTGCTACAAGCTATAAAAATTTTCTTACTCTCATCAAAATTACCCTTAACCAAGAAACTTTCTCAGAAGCATTGGGTAATGAAGAGTCGAAACAAGCCACAAATAATAAAAAAAAAGTACTTTAAGAGAACTACATGCAAATTGATGGAATTGCCTCAAAGAAAAAAAATTGGTGGTATGCATATAGATCTTCAGTGGGAAATATAAAGATTATGGATTACTTGAACATTATAGACTATATTGGCTGTTAAAGAGCATACTCATAACTATGCAATAGACTATCTTGAAGTATTTTCTCCCGCTACAAAAATATACTAAGAATCCTTATTATCTGTAGCAACTAATATTGCTGAAGCTTACAGCAAATTGACAAGGTTTGTGTCAAATAAGAATAATATATGTTAATTATAAAAGGTATTTTATGGGGCGAAATAGTCTCCTAGGGCATGGTTTCAAACATTTAATAAGATAATGAAAGCATGGGGATATAGACAAAGTCAAGGTAATAGCACGTTATTTGTCAAACAGTCTAACTCAGGAGGATTTACCGGTCATAGTTCGTAAGAATGATAATCTAGTAACAACAGATGCCTATAAGGAATGGAGACATTGAAAGGATGTTTATAGGGGCAATTACATGCATAGCACCCGAAACATTGCTATCTACAAATCTAGCAACCTCTTTCATCCATTTTTCAAATTCTCACTCAAACATCTAAATTCATGATAAAACCCCAATCCATATTTTTCATTTTTTAATTCAATTCTCAATGATTTGATCGTGACATGCGTAAATAAATCGGTTCGATGGTTCAAAAATATCAACTAGGTGCTAAATTTTGTAAATAGCAATGTTACGGGTGCTATGTATGTAATTATCCCATGTTTATAAAAGGAGTTTGAGATTAGGAATCCAACAAATTAAATTAGTTCTTTTACACTTGATTGCTCCCTCTCGATAAAACATTTATATCCCAATAAAATATGTGGTTCCTTTTTTACCTGAGATAGGAAAATTTGGATGCAAACCAATTGGAACACTCAATGAACAAAATCGAAGCTTACCAACTATTTTAACATTTTCTTTACATCTTGTAAGATTAACAATTAAGACACAGAGTAACCAAAATATATATCCAACTTCTTCCAATGACTACTAAAACTTTATTAGTATTTTCTACAATCCCAATTGCACGCAGATTTTTTCTCTGAAAGTAATCACACATCCCTCCTTCAAATGACCATATCAAGATAATATAATAAAGTATTATTTTTTCTCTCACAACTCAATTAAAAACTGCATAAACTACTTTTTCAAAAAACTAAAAATTTTCGTATTCTTTCCATGCTGAAATAAATTATATTATCTTCAGTTTTCAATGCATCTTACTGGATTGCTATCTCTGCTTGGCATCTATAAAATTATGAAAACTCTAAGTCGATGATCATCAACACCTAGCTGACATGATCCATTTGTTCCAATCAGCTTACTAAACTGATTTATTTGACTCTAATCACACAAAAGGTTCCCATAATTTCTTCATGTACAACCCTCCCATATTTAGAAATTAAGCTCCGCGTCATTAGTTATCTGAAACCCTTTCAAAAGGCGATTCCAAAATGCCAAAAGATGAAGTATAGCAACCAGAAGGTCATTTCATGTTCTCAATCTACAAGGTTACAACAAGAAAAAGAAATCAAAACCGCTTTGATTTACAGAAACCTATCACAAGTATTCAGAAGTCAAAGATACTTGCATGCATAGAATAAGAGCGCCAAATTATTGTGAAGATTGAAATGAAAAATCAGAAGCAAAAGAATTAATATCAATTCGTATGAAATAAAAACTGATACATTATATGTGAGAAACCTATTACGGTGCATGAGCTTCTAAAGCAAGAGATCAGAATGGGAAATTGTGGAAAAGAATGATAACTTCTCTCTTACCAAAAACAAAATGTTTCCAACCTTTTATTACTTCATAAAGTAGAATTAAAAGTTTAAGCTTTATTCCAGATAGAAAATAAACTTTACAAGGAAGTTCATATCAGGCATACCTCGTTATTCCAGATAGAAAATAAACTTTACAAGGAAGTTCATATCAGGCATACCTCGTTAACATAATTAATAAGCTTGTCCATTTCCTTGAACCAAGATTCAGCATACTGATACTGGAAATCATCACCCATTGTCCACATAATATGATTTGTTCGTGTCACATTAGCCTGATAAACGTAATTCAAGAAATAACTAAATCAACATGAAGACAAAACAATAGTAAGAGTAGTACGCATGGACAACAAAGGGGTAAAATTGAGTGTGAAATCCATGCTTACCTGAACCAGAGCAGCGTTAATAAAATCATTTACACGCTCATTAACATTGTAGTCATAAAGATGAGGATCATCCTGCACATTAAGAATACAGAGAACCAAGAAAGGAGTTTGTATCTGTAAAGGGGTTATATCTAGACAAATTAATCAAACTATTCAAACCTCATACCTGGACAGGAGGATCGAAATCATTCACTTCAAAATGAAATCCTTGTGGAGGGCTGTAATCAACAGGGAAAGCGCTTGCAAAAATCTGGAGTTTTAATTATTTGCATCAAAAAAACAAAGTATCACAAGGAGAATATATTGGGATCCAGAAATCAAAGAACCTGGGATGATCGGCCCAATGTTCTTGAACCACGCCAAATGACTTCAAGTGATTTGTCCGCTGTACGTTTTATTCTGTCCTGGTAGTCAATCCTTGCAAAGAATACAGAGTCGAAACCAAGCTGCATGAAAAATGAGGAAATTAAGAGAATAAAAATAAACAAGCATTTTTTGTTGGAATTTTTGGTGGGTGGAGTTCATGGCAATGCTTTTCATCTTAAATGAGAGAAAAGGAGACATAAAATTAGGTTGTGAACCGTAAAGTAGCACTTAATAAGGTAAACAAGATTGACATGGGACATGGAACGTAAGACACGAAAGGAAGACGGATATAAATCCGTAAACATGAAACTCTTGTTTATTTGCTAACCGGTTCACGTTCGGACCACCTATGGCTGTGGGCTGGCCCCTTTAGCTTCATTTTATTCGTAAATTAGCACTAGTATTAGGTTATTTTGTCTGGGAATTATTTATATGTTTATTATGGACTGATTTCGGGATTGGTTGCTTTGGTTTTATGCAATAGAGATCGTTCTCTCTAATTTTTCTTTATTAAAGTGTTGTATCTTTGATTTTTCTCAAGTGGTTTTAACCTAATTGTATTTGCATGGTGATCTTTGTTAAACGTCCGATAACGACCATCCAACATTGTCAACCCTTGTTGCGGCCTACCAAACCAGTTGTTAGACTACTATCCAATATTGGTTGCACCGATTCTCCTGTCCTCCTCTAGTTTCCCCGCTGTTTCCTTCCTACAATTCTCCTAACTTGCTCTTTGACCTTCCCATGCTATTTAGTAACCCTATATCAGTGTGACTTGGAATTACAATTCGACAAAACCTAAAAATTAGGGATTTATTTTCCTCACTCCAAAACCCAAATCCACATTACCTATTTTGTCTACCCTCACCCTCTCACTTTTCAGCCACACAAAATTATCTTTCTATTTTAACAGAAACCCTAATTGGCAGAATAAGACACCATGCCTCCGAGGGAAAAACATGCAAAAAAGTATCCATGAGCTTACAATGGAAGATATGCAAAGGGAGATTGTCCAACTACAACAAATACTTATCACATTTGAAAGGAGTCGCCCGAAGAGATCACCTATAGCCATAATGGTGACTCATAGGATCGATAAAAGGAAGCTAATGCATCCACAAGAAAGTTCTCAATAATGAAGAACCAATTCCCCAATGATTTGACATTGAATATCAAGACAATGATTTCATGTTGACGATCGACTTGTTGGATTTTGATGAAAGCTAATATCCAAACGAATTCATTGAGTGGTTCCAAACAGTGAAAAGGATGTTTACATACAAGAACATTCCCTAAGATAAGATGATCAAATTAGAAGCAAACTCTAAACACTGGAAAAAAAATTTAGTACAGAGACCTCCCCTAAGATAAGAGTCTAATTGGAAACCATCAAACTCTAAAAAATGCCATAAAAATTTTGAAGAGAATTTGACAGTGAGAATGGAAAAGTAAGATCACCACATAATTTACGGTGAAAAAGGATATTCAATACAAATACTTTTCTCACATTACTGGCAAGATATGTTCCTAAAACTTCATAACTTGCACTTGAGATATTCTACTATACGGGAGTACATGTAATATTTTGTAATTAAATAATAATAAATATCTACTGAAATGCTAGCATTTGGAATGTGAGGGATGTGAAGATAAGGTGGAAGTGTAGTAAGGGAGAAGAAACAAGGGAATGGAGACGAAAAGTTGATTAGTTATTATAAGAAGAGATCCCTGTAACAATTTGAACATGAGGAAATAAAGGAGTGGAAGATGGACGGTTTTGTGTCGATCGCACATAAAAGCTTGAATTCGAGCAGCTACGTCGACAAGGGAGACCGAGAGTATTCGAGCTAGGGCGGTAAAGCAAATATGTCAATGATGAGGGTTAAAGCTATTGGCGAGCTAGTCAGCTAAAGTTAGTGAGTTTTTTGTGCGGTCAATAGAGATGAGGAGTCGTGAAAGAAGTGAACAACGACACTAGGGATACAAGAAATAATAATGATATTAGAGGGGAGTATCAACTTCTTACGATGAGGGAGAGGTGCTAGTATTTCGATCGATTCTTCAAACTGAGCCCAGGAAAGAGCAATAGTGATTTCATCACAACACATTTCGTATTCGTTGCAATGTGAAAGGATAAATGTGCAATCTTATCATTCACAGACAACTGTGAGAATGTGATATATATTCAAATGATAAATAAGTTGAGTTGTGCAAACAGAAGCATGTCCATCTACAATCCATATGTTGGTTGAAGACAGGGAGTGTGATCAAAGTTGACAGGAGATGTCTAATGGAGTTGTTTATCCGAGACAAGTTCCAAGATCAGGTATGGTGTGACATGATACTCCCTTGACGATACAACTGGTGCACATGCCATAACGACTATAAAAATGCCTATTCCTTTACCAAGGATAATAAGCACATCACATTCTTATTTTGAAAGGAGTCTAAGATAATGGACATTCACACATATAAGATGATAGTGCCACGAGCTACCTTTTTTTAAGCCTTGCGAGAAGCACCAGCATGACTAACATTGTTGGTCGTGAAATGTAGTGAGTTAGAGAAGTCGACACCGTACATAATGAAGCCTCTACTAAGAGTGTTTTAGGATGTCCTATCTTACAGTCTATCTTCCAAAAAAATCATAGATTTCATCCCAGAATCTGTTCTTTCAAACTAACTTGTTTACTAGCCAGCCAAATATTATGAAGGCTTGAAAAAAAAAAGAATTGGAATCAAATGTTCCTCATTATTAAAAAGTGGGTGAACGTGAAGAGGGCATATCCCTATCAAAACTGAAGGAATAAGTGAGGAAGAGGGAGAAGGAGAAAGATAGGGGGTGAGGAGTGCGGACATGCGCTTAGGGATTGAGCTAATTGAGCAATAGATCAACACCCTTATGTGAGCAGCTAGCTTTGGCTCGAGTCGAGCATGAAAGTGTTTTCAAGCAGGCGAGCAGAAACAGTACGTGTATGCTTGAGAAGTTTCTTCCGGTCATGGGTTGGACCGTTGACAAGTGGAATTGAATTGTTTTGAGCATAAGTTAGGGCGTCATGTTCTTTGCACGCTTGACCACATTAATATCGATTGAACCAGTTAAGACTTTATTTATATTTTCTTATGAATAAATTATAAATCCTAAACCTAGTTTAACTTTCAAGAAATATTTAAGGAGGTTTTTTATAAGGAAACATTAGATTATAATTTTGGTTATAAAATTAATTTATCAAATTCCAAAGTGTTGCCTAGATATAATTAGAAATTCTATTAGAACTTTAGATGGTTGAAATAAGGAAGTGCATGTGATCAAAGTAGTAATTATAAATTTATGTTAAATAAATATTAGGATTATTAAAAATTAGGATAGTTAAAAATTAAATTTTAAGGATAAAGTAAAAGAAATTTTAAAATTTAGTGACAACATAAGAGTTTAGATATGCATATTCATATTGTAAAGGTATGATAAATATAAAAAAAATGAATTAGAAATTATAAATGACCATATTTTAAATCACATATTTTGACTATAGATTATAAAAAAAAATTTAATGTCGAGTTATATTTTTGATAAAAAAAGTTATAAGGTTAATAATCTAATAAAATATATACATGTCAAGGAAGACTATCATTAATTAAAGTATGTAATTAAAATATTAATAAATTATAAATAAAATTTAGTGAGAGTTTGCAAAAAAATTTTAAAAAAAAAGATCATAGCAATTATTATCAATTAAATTAATAGAAATAATTTTTTCTCATAAATATTAAGTAAATATAGTCAAAATATAATGAAAAATTAAAGCAACATTTTGTTTAGATTTGAAAGAGTCACTATAAGCAAAGTTAGATAAACATAATAAAAATTATCATATTTCATAAATAATTTTTACATGAATAACATGCAAATTATGCATGTATGAACAACGGTAGCAAGTATAAGTTAACAAATTATTCATTTCAAATCACACGACTAAAAAAGTACAAAAGCTTATCAAAAACTAGATATATGTGCTCAGTAAGGATAAAAGTGTGGCTATTTAAGTTAGCAATCTTGATGATAACATTTGTGCTTCAGAAATAAATAATGTTTTCTATAAATTTTCAACAAAGTAAATTATTGTAGAGTATGTTGTATAAAATTAATGACTTTTTAAATGGATGCGCTTTTTAAATATAAAATAACTCTATAGGCTCATATTTTAAGTAGATCGCAATTTCTAAGTTTTAAGAAATTTGAAGAAGAATTGCAAAGTTTTGGTAATCATTATCATTGATTCTTAAGACTTTTTATTAGAAGAATTTGAAATACAGGCATATTATAAATGCAAAAAGACAATGTCATGTGTTTTGATATTTAGTACTTCGTGTCAATTTAATTTCATACAAAATATTTGAATAATCAAAGCAAATGCATTTACAAACATATTCATATTGTAAAGGTATGATAAATATTAAAAAAAAATTAATGAATTAGGTATTATAAATAAATATATTTTAAATCACACATTTTGACTATAGATTATAAAAAAGAAAATTATGTCAACTTATACTTTTGATAAAAAAAAGTTATAAGGTTAATAATCTAATAAAATATATACATGTAAAAGAAGACTATCATTAATTAAAATATGTAATTAAAATATTTATAAATTAAAAATAAAATTTAGCGAGAGTTTGCAAAATAAAAATAAAAAAAAGATAATAGCAATTATTATCAATTAAATTAATAGAAACAATTAAGAATAATTTTTTTTCATATATATTAAGTAAATATAGTCAAAATAAAATGAAATATTAAAGCAACATTTTGTTTAGATTTGAAAGTGTCACAATAAGCAAAGTTAGATAAACATAATAAAAATTTTAAATGGTCATATTTCATAGGTAGTTTTTACATGAATAACTTGCAAATTATGCATGTATGAATGCCGGTAGCAAGTATAAGTAAACAAAATTATTCGTTTCAAATCACATGACTAAAGAACATACAAAAGGTTATCAAAAACTAGATATATGTGCTCATTAAGGATAAAAAAGTGGCCTTTTAAGTGAACAATCTTGATGCTAACATTTGTGACTCAAAAATAAATAATGTTTTCTATAAATTTTCAACAAAGCAAATTATTGTAGACTATGTTGTATAAAATTGATAAATTTTTAAATGGATGCGCTTTTTAAATATAAAATAACTCTATAGGCTCATATTTTAAGTAGATGGCAATTTCTAAGTTTCGAGAAATTTGAAAAAGAATTGCAAACTTTTAGTAATCATTACCATTGCTTCGTAAGTCTTTTTTTATTAGAAGAATTTGAACTCCAAGCATATTATAAATGCAAAAAGACAATGTCATGTGTTTAGATGTTGAGTACTTTGCATCAACTTAATTTCATACAAAATATTTGGAAAATCAAAACAAATGCATTTACAAGCATATTCATATTGTAAAGGTATGATACAAATAAAAAAAAATTAATGGATTAAGTATTATAAATAACTATATTTTAAATCATACATTTTGATTATAGATTATAAAAAACAATTAATGTCAAGTTATACTTTTGATAAAAAAGTTATAAGGTTAATAATCTAATAAAATATATACATGTCAAGGAAGACTATCATTATATAAAATCTGTGATTAAAATATTTATAAATTATAAATAAAATTTAGTGAGAGTTGCTAAATTAAAAAAAAAGATCATAGCAATTATTATCAATTAAATTAATAGAGATAATTAAGAAAAAACTTTTTTCATAAATATTAAGTAAATATAGTCAAAACAAAATGAAAAATTAAAGCAACATGTTGTAACAGTTTGTTTAGATTTGAAAGAGTCATTATAAGCAAAGTTAGATAAACATAATTAAAATTTTAAATGATCATATTTCATAAGTAGTTTTTACATGAATAACGTGCAAATTATACACGTATGAACACTGGTAGCAAGTATAAGTAAACAAAAATTTCGTTTCAAATCACACGATTAAAAATGTACAAAAGGTTATAAAAAACTAGATATATGTGCTCATTAAGGATAAAAATGTGGCCTTTTAAGTGAGCAATCTTGATAATAACATTTGTACTTCAGAAATAAATAATGTTTTCTAATAAATTTTCAACAAGGCAAATTATTGTAGAGTACGTCGTATTAAATTGATGACTTTTTAAATGGATGTGCTTTTTAAATATAAAATAACTATATAGGCTCATATTTTAAGTAGATGGCAATTTCTATGTTTTAAGAAATTTGAAGAAGAATTGCATACTTTTAGTAATCATTACCATTGATTCTTAAGCCTTTTTTATCAGAAGAATTTGAACTACAAGCATATTATAAATACAAAAAGACAATGCCATGTGTTTTGATGTTAACTACTTTGCATCAACTTAATTTCATACAAAATATTTGAAAAATAAAAACAAATGCATTTACAAGCATATTCATATTGTAAGGGTATGATTAATGGATTAGGTATTATAAATAACTATATTTTAAATCACACATTTTGACTATAGATTAAAAAAAATAATAACAGTCATATTTTTGATAAAAAAATCATAAGGTAAATAATCAAATAAAATATATACATATCAAAGAAGACTATCATTGATTAAAATATGTAATTAAGATATTTATAAATTATAAATAAAATTTAGTGAGAGTATGCAAAATTTAAAAAAAAATCAAGGCAATTATTATCAATTAAATTAATAAAGATGATTAAGAATAAATTTTTTTCATAAATATTAAGTAAATATGGTCAAAATAAAATGAAAAATTAAAGCAACATTTTGTTTAGATTTGAAAGAGTCGCTATAAACAAAGTTAGATAAACATAATAAAAAATTTAAATGATCATATTTCATAGGTAGTTTTACATGAATAACATGCAAATTATACACGCATGAAAACTAGTAGCAAGTATGAGTAAACAAGATTATTTGTTTCAAATCACACGACTAAAAAAAGTACAAAAGGTTATTGAAAACTATATATATGAGCTCATTAAGGAAAAAAATGTGGCCCAGTGAACAATCTTGATGATATCATTTGTGCTTCAGAAAAAAATAATGTTTCTATAAACTTTCAACAAAGCAAATTACTATAGAGCATGTTGCACAAATTTGATGACTTTTTAAATGGATGCGCATTTTAAATATAAAATAACTATATAGGCTCATATTTTAAGTAGATGGCAATTTCTAAGTTTTGAGAAATTGAAGAAGAATTGCAAACTTATAGTAATCATTACCATTGATTCTTAAGACTTTTTTATAAATGCAAAAAGACAAGGTCATGTGTTTTGATGTTGAGTACTTTGCATCAATTTAATTTCATACAAAATATTTGAATAATCAAACAAATGCTTTCTTTTTTTTTACAACCCCCCCCCCCCCCCCCCCCCCCAACATTCAATTAGATCCTTATGATTTATCAAGAAAAAAAAAACACAATCACAGTACAATTTGGACACATTATGATTTAAAATGGGCATGCAAGATTAAAGGTGCAATCCTTGCACAAGTATTCCCACAACAGGTAGCTACTTGTGCACAACACCTCACCACTTAACCAACCCTATCAGGCCATCACCCCCTCTATCCACCCCAAACCAACCACTTAGTAAAACGGGGAGCATGAGAAATATAGTTAGCACAGTGAATATATTACCTCTGCTCCTAGTAAGTAGCCTTGCACCGCAGAATGCCCAAACGGATCGATCTGCCAACCAACTCGAGGAACATGGTTAAACTGTTTCTTTATCAAACGATGACCAAGAGTAGTTTGATCAATCATATCAATATAGTGGGCAGCTGCTTCATCATGCATACACCAGCCACCATTTCTGCACCAGAAGAAATCATTGTGAGAAAACTATGACCTTGAAGAAAGACCAATTGGTATTTCTATCATTACATACACGAATTCCAACTGGCCAGAATCTACCAATTTTTTTACCACTGCTTGCATCACATCACTTTGTTCAACCCACCATCTTTGGAAAAAAGCCTACACAACCATAAGCCATTTATGGCATTATTTTCATATTAAAATCTGAAATAATAGAACAGGATAAGAAATGCAAAATTGCTGTTGACAAAGCTGTTATTACTAGGTGGCTAGACATCGGTGTCAAAAATAAGCCAAACAGGTTTCTTGTTGCCTCGGAGAACATGCTGGTGCAATGAAATGAATATGCAGAAAGTGAAATTTTATTGTAGATGCAGTTTCATCAAAATTTGAATACAATGTGATGCATCATGCTAAGATATCTGTCCTGATCCATAGGCATATTCATTTTTTTATCAATATCAGTTCCAAAAAGCAAATGAACTACACCACATACTGCTATGCAAGGAAACAAATTCATTGACAGTCTAAAGCTGAGTTTAGACTAATGAGCACCTCCAGGGTAGATTGTGAGTTGATGCCCATTATATAAGCTTTGGAAGCTAGTGGCAGTGTGGGCTTCGAGAATTCATGCCCTGGCCTTCCTCAAAGATGGAGTAGTTTTACATTGAGTTTCCAAGTCAAAATTTCATAATGTAAATTAGATAGTAGACAAGACATTACTAGAGGCTTTGCCTTCATTTTGCATAGACTTTAAAATTTGGGATTCGAGGTTTCCACAGGAACAAGCCAATAGCAAGGAGTTTATATTTTAATCTATCATGATTTAGTCGTCCTGGATTGCTATGGTCTGTAATCTACTTTATAAGAAGAGGAAACCAACCCAAATTAATAGAAAGATCCATATCGGCTATCATAAGTTGTTTCATCCAAGAGAAACTTATAGAACTAGAGAAAATATTTGTTTAAGAGAATAAATTCAAGCCGATCTTAGCTTATCGATGATTTTGTATTTTATTAGTTATATCATATAGTTCACAACTCAAAGGAACGAGAAGCCATTAAAAAACGTAAGGGGCCATAGTTGTGGCCAAAATATAGTGGAACTTGTCTGGCCAACCAATCAGAGGACCTTGGTTATAACCATTTCTTTTGTAGAGCCTATTGACTCTGGTCATAAATTTAAGGGATTAATTTGAGTGTGAATGTAGTAGCATATTTAATACAACATTAGCTCTATATTAGCTTAATTTGATTCAAAATCTATCACGCTTGACAATCGATTGTGAAAGATGAATGAGGTTTTGCTCTTAATGTTCAACGAAAAAGAATATTTTAAATTTCATACCACTGTCATTGTCGGGTCCTAAGTCTCCAATGCAAAAAATTGAGAGTAGTGTTAGGCAGTCAAAAGCCATAGTAAAATTTGTTGAAAAATCATCCTTGTGTAGATGTTAGGTCTTGGAAGCCTTGCATTTTATGGTCTGAATATAGTAAAAAGTGTGCAAATGTCACTACACCAACGCCCGGGCGTAGTGTCAAATAAGCAAGAGATGCTACATTACGGACGGATGCGGATAAAGAAGTTTGTCCATAAAAGTAATATTATGATAGAATCTTGAAATATAAGTTCTCTCACAGGTAAATTAATGAGATTAGTTGATATTATGGTTAATATGAAGATATATATATCATGTATTCAAGAAACTAAATGGGTTGGAGAAAAAACTAAAGAGATTAATAGCTTAGGTTTTAAACTTTGATATTCATGTAGGAGTCGCACTAGAAATGGTGCATGTATAATTGTAGATAAGTATTTGAAAGATAACAGTATAAAAATTAATAAAATTAGAGATATAATTATAACTCTAAAGATTGCTGTTGACACTAAAATTTTTAATGTTATAAGTGTTTATGCTCCTCAAATAAGTTTAGATATAAGTTCAAAAGAAAAATTTTAGAAAAACCTACAAGAATTAATACAATTAATATCTCTTGAAGAAAGATTTTTTTTAGGGGGATTTAAATGGACATGTTGGTAGAGTGGTGGAAGATTTTAGAAATATTAATGATGGCAAAGGTTTTGGAGTGATTAATGAAGAAGATGAAACCATTTTAAATTTTATTTTAGCATATGACTTTGTTATTGCTAATACTTTATTTAAGAAAAGATATGAGCATATTATTATTTATAAGAATTGATCTAATAAAACACAAATTGATTATTTTCTTACGCGAAAAAGAGATCATCGAGAGTGCAAAGAGTATAAGATCATTCCAAGTGAAAATTTAAGTACTTAACAATGCTTATTAGTTCTGGATTTTAAGATAAAGAGTTGTAAGAAATAATACAAGAAAATATTGTCATAGAATTAAATAAGTACACCTTTTTATAAGTAAATTATAAGATTTCAAGATTTGGGATGTTCATAGAAGCAAATTCAATGTATGATAAAGTAACAAGCACTATTAAACAAGTGGTAAAAGATATACTTGGAGAATCAGAAGGAAAAAAATTTTATAAATAAAAATGGTTGGTGGTGAAATAATAATATGTAAGAAAAGATAAAATATATAAAGTTGTGTTATAAAAACTGATTTAAATGTAAAAGCTTAGAGAACCGAGAAAAATATAAAGTGACTCGTATGGAATCTAAGAGAATAATTTGTGATTTAAAAAAAAAATTTAGTGATCTTTATAAATTAGATACTATAAGTGGTGAAAATTATATGTATAAACTAGTCAAGCAATGAGAACATAATAGTAAAGAATTAAATCAAGTAAAGTGTATTAATAATGAAAATTAAAAAAAAAATTCTTAGACGAAGATATTCAACATAGGTGGATAAGCTATTTTGATAAATTTTTTAATGAATTTTTTGAAGATATGATTAACCTTAGTGATCTTAATAATGTTAATAATAATACATTTTTTTTATTTTTACCATCACATTAGTAAAAGAGAAGTTGATGAGGATTTAATAAATACTAAGGGGGGGGGGGAATTAGTGGGACTTGATTATATCTCAATTGAAGTGTGAAAGTATTTAAGAGATTTGGGAGTTTCTTGGCTTGGCTTACTAACTCTTTAATATTATTTTGAAAACTAAAAAGATGCTATAGAAGTGGAGGAAGTGTATTTTGGTCCCCACTTTTAAGATAAAGAGGATGCACAAGAGTTTACAAAAATAATAGAGGAATTAAATTCATGTGTCATACTTCAAAATAATGTGAGAGGGTTATTGAACACATGTTAAAACGTGATCTAAGGATTTCTCATAATTAGTTTGAATTTATGTCAAGCACGTTGACTATGGAAGCTATACATTTATTAAGCGGTTTGATTGAGAAGTACAAAAAGCTCACGATAAGATTCCAAGAGAAGTCCTTTGGAGAATTCTAAAGAAGAAATGTGTTGATATGACTCATATTCAAGTGATTAAAGAAATGTATACTAGAGTTGTTACTTATGTTCGAACAGAATAAGGGTTGATCAAGTATTTTCCGATTTCAGTTGGATTATATCAGATATTGCTTTAAGCCCGTATCTTTTTGCTACAGTCATGGATGTTCTTACTAGACATGTGCAAGAGGATGTACCTTGGTGTATGCTTTTCGTTGATGATATCGTTCTTGTGAATAATACTAGAGAAAGAGATCATAAAAAACTTGAATTACAGAGGTCTACATTTGAGTTTAAAGGCCTTTGTTTGATTAGATCTAAAACTAAATACATGGAATGTAATTTTAGTAGTAGTAGCTCTAGTGGCATAATTGTAACTATGGGTGATCAAATCATTAAAAAGTGTGATCGTTATAGATATCTCGGGTATATAGTTCAAAATGATGGTGATATATATGGGAATGTTATTAGTAAAATTCAAGTTTGTTGGTTGAAGTAGAAGAATGCACCGAGCTTATTATGTGATAGAGAAGTGCCTCTCAGACTAAAAGGAAAATTTTATAAGATGGCAATGAGACTTAAAATACTCTATGGCGCAGAATGTTGACTTTAAGAGAGACGCATAAAACAAAGTCAAGTGTTGTTGAGATGAGAATGCTTAGTTGGATGAGTGGCTTGACACTTAGAGATAAAATGAGAAATGAATATAACAGTGATAGTGTTGGTGTAGCTCCAATGGCGGACAAGATTAAAGAGAGTCATCTTAGATGATTTGGTCAAATTAAACGTCAACAATCTTATGATCCTGTTAGGAGAGTGATGTTTTAGATAAGACTTATGCTAAGAAAAATGGAGGTATACTTAAGAATACTTGGGCAAATTGTATAAATATGATCTTCATCCATTAGAATTAGATGAAAATATGATACTAAATAGGACGTAATGGAGAAAAAGGATTCATATAGCCAGCCCAACTTAGTAGGATAAAAGCTTGTTGTCGTTGTTGTTGAATATTTTAGATGTCATGAATCTCTTGAAATGAAATCCCCCCTAGTTAAGATTTGCATTGAACCACGGGCATCATCGGGGAGTGATGTTTGAAATGCGTGTACTTGTAATTTAATTGAAGTTGATTATTTGAACATTAATAGAAACACTTGTCATATCAACTTCAATCCTTATAAGGAGAAGAATCAAACTCGAATAATAAATGTTCAATCTTATCAACTCTAGTTCTTAGGAGGAAGATGATCAAATTAATCACGAAGATACTTACGACGTTGTCTTATGAGCAAGAATGTCCACTCAAAAGCATGCAACACTTGTTGATTTTTTTATTTGATTTTTTTGAGAAGAGAATTTTCACAAAAGTTAAAAATATCATTCTCATACCATTTACTAAGACATACCATGCATTGGTCAAAGCATATATGGTCTTTAAATCTGAAAGTGTTCAGGCTTCTCGAAAAAGATGATTTTGAATTCAATTTTAAAACTACTAGCACAGTATTCTGAAAAACTTCAATTAACATATTTAGGACAAGCGATGGACCATATGCAGGTTTGAAACTTATTAGTTTGCATGCATATTAGGGCACTTGCACAAATATTGCACTAACATATGCAGTTGAACAAGTTTTGATGCGCTGGAAAGATTGTCTCATTACCTAAGCACGTTCTTTGTCGGTGAATGCAAGCTCTTCAAGTTTCTTGTACGAATTTTAATGTGATACA